GTCACACCCTCGCCGTGCCCGAGCAGCACTTGGTTGTAGTGCGGCGCCGAGCCGCACGACGAGAGCCGCCCCTCGCCGTCAATGAAGACGCTGTGCCGATAGCCCGCCGCCCTCGCCGGCGGGTTGGACTCGCACAGCAGCGCCGAATAGCACAGCCACCGCACGGCGCACTCGCCCTCTGGCTGCGCCGGCAGCTCGAAGCCGCGCTCTTGCGCCCACAAGCGGATGCCCTCCACCGCCAGCGAGCCGTGAAAGAGCAGCGAGACGGCCGCGACGCGAGCGATGTCGGCGGGGTCGCAGCGAGAGACGACGCGCACGAGGAGCTCCGTGGGGAGGTCGAGGAGGCGGGCGGGCGGCGGCGTGTCTGGCGAGAGAGCGGCGGCGGCGGAGGACGTGGCGAGGCGGCGCGGCGGGGTGGACATCGCGAGAAAAAGAAAAAAACTGCGGTGATTCGCGGGTACAGACGTGTGTATGTGTGTGTGTGTCGTTGTGGTTTCGTATCAAGAATACTCACTCACTCACGGTACAGACGCTTAGGTGTGGCGATCCGCCTCCACTCTTGTGTTGCTCGCTCGCTCGCGCGGAGGGCATGGCCGCGGAGGAGGCGAGTGCGCGCTTGCCAGACCTTCCGCAGACAGCCTCTCGGGTAGACTGAGGGTCGGCTTTGCGTGGCGTGGCCCGTGCGCTGCGCTGCGCAAAGCTGCGTGTGCTGAGGGAGCATCCTGTGCTTCCACTGGGAAGTGCGCACCTCCTGCAGCTGGTGCCGGCGCCTGCTCCGTGGACAGGGCGGGGAGACGGCGCCGCAGCGCCGCAGCGTCTGCTGCAAGCCGGTGCAGCACTCTGCTGCCTGGTGAGCAGCATGCTGGTGCTGTGTGCGGTGTTGACGAGGCGGCTTTGGCGCTGTACTGCCTGCCGCGGCGAGTGGCGCGCGGCACGCGCGGCGCCGCGCGTGGCCCGGACGTGTTTCGCCTTCCGATCAATGTATGCTGATAGGGAGGTGATAAGATAATGAATCGACGATGCAGTCATGAATCGAATCCCACACCATCTTGAATGTGGTTTGGGGTTTTGACGGAGGCGCCTAGAGCAACTTGGAAAGGGCTTAACCGCGAGACGACACGTACCTTTGAGACAGTGTGTGTCGGATGCCCTCGCCGCAACTCGATCAGTGACAGAGACTGAGCACATAACATGCCTTAGCCGGGATGGCTGGTGGAAGAGGTGGACCTCTGCCGTGTGAGGACTTCCTGTTGTCATGTGAGGACCTCCGCGTCTGCCTGCTGAGGACCTCTCTCTGATAGCGTGATAGGGTCCCCTCACTCTCTCGCTGGCGCTCCTACCTCGATCGCGTCCCGTGCTCCTTGATCCGCGCGTCGGCAAGACACACAGTGTGCATCACACGTCGGTCATTGCCACCGCCGCGCGAGTGTGAGGACTTCCGTCACTCCGTGTGGGGACTGTGTGAGGACCTCTCCTTGCTGTGAGGACCTCTGGGATCCCTCACTCTCTCGCTGGCGCACTGTCTCCTTTGGTCGCGTCCCGAGCGTGCCACGCACCGCCGCCGCCATCCTCTTCCTGTACGGCTTCAGCTGCTTACCGGCATCTTTCTCCCTGCAACACCTCGCTCTCGCGTGACCCATGTGACCTTCTGGGAAGTGAACTCATACTGATGATTAGAAAGCAAGGAGAGGAGGTGAGGTGCGGGCAGAGTTGAGGTGTGCGAGAAGCTCTTGATTTTGTGTCTTATTTTTCACTGTGTCCTGTGTTAGTGCCAGTGTGCGCGCCAGTGTCCCGGTTAAAATGAACTCGGGGCACATGCCCGGAGCATCCCGTGAGGAGCTGAGGACCTCCAACCCGCGACCGGTGTGTAGTGACAGAGGCTACCATCATGTGCGATGTCTTCCCATTCATTGTGCAGGAAGTTGTCTCTGCTGATATTGTTTCCCCCCCCCCCTTAAAGATCACGAAGTGTCGTGCGCATAAAAAAAAAAGAGGGTACCCTCAGATCTCGCCGCGCGGTGGCGCCGAAAAGCCGACACCTCGCGAGAATTGTACAACTCTCTCGCGCGAGAACCCTCGTAAGATGACTTACGATCTCCAATACTTAAATGACTTATCTCAATAGTCACCAGGCGGGTCTTTTCGCACCTCCAACGCAAGTCATGTATTTGTCACACTACAACATTGACATCGTGTGGTTTCGGTTTTTGACGGAGGCACCTTGAGCAACTTGCTTGGAAAGGAAGGCACCAACCACGAGAGGCGCACCATGAGACAGTGTGTCGGATGCCACTCGCCGCGCTCGATTATAGTAAGCACACGCCTTAGCCGGGATGGCTCGTGTGGTGGGAGGAGGGGTGGACCTCTGCCGTGTGAGGACCTCCTGCTGTGAGGACCTCCGTGTCTGCGGGCTATGATGTATCTTATTCCGGGGCCCGTGTGCGGGGAGCGAACCTTAGCGACCGCCCAGAAGCTTTCTGAGCGAACCAATCGGGCCAGGATCATCAGCATATGTCCCCTCCACAACATCGTGGGCGTTTGAGCGGTATTTGAGGAGCACCGCCACTCTGAAGTTCGGCCGGGTGGTCTGCAGACCCCCCCCCCCCGAGCAGCAGAGGCTCCGTGGGGTCGAAAAGTCGACGCTGGGAGTCGCAATCGTCAAACCGTCGCAACACCACGCGGTACGCACGTACCGCCCACATCCCCTCCACCGCTGAGCAGGCGCAGATCGACCGCCGGGCCGCGTAGCCGTCGTTAAGGAGCGGTTTTTGGAGCCGTACGAAGAGGTCCCAGACGGGCGAAGATGCGGTTTTTCGACGACCACACGCGATTTGGTATCTGGTTTTTGCTAAAAACGGGCCGCCTAGTGCAGCATCACTAGTACAACACGCAACCACACTGATAGCTCCACACTGGCCGGTATAGGCGAGAACCGACGGCGTCACGGTCGCCGGAGTGGACGCACTGCACACACACTGTGACCGTGTCGACGGTGTGACAGTGAGCTGACACAATCGTCGGCGCCGCGCTATCGCGGCGCCCCGCAGTCTACACGCCTCAGACGCACCCCTGAACGCGCCATGGGCGCGCAGATACACCGCAGCGCCGAGGAGAATCCACACCTGGCCGGTCCCGAGCCCCGTCCTGGGCCTCCAGGCGGCCGAAGATCGGCGTTCGGGCGGGATGAACTTGTCGGAAATGGAGCAAACTTGGCGCGGCTCGCCGCTCGCGGTACCGGGTGAGCCTGGATAGGGCAAAATCTGGGGTGAATACGAGGGACAGAGGTCGCAAGTTTGTCGCGCAAGTTTGCGCGGCGTGGCGCTGCCCCGCTGCCGAGGGCGCCACCAACCCGTGGCGGCGGCATTTCCAGCCCAAATTGGGCGTTCCGTGCGCCTTGCCGGCGAGAGTGGACGGGCTGTGCATCGTGGGGGGGGTGAGTGGGAGGGAGGTGGTCGTGTGCCTACTTTGTCGGCCGCGCGCGAGGAGAATTCTGGGTGTGAGGCGCGCAGGAGGCGAGGGTGGGCGCGCCGGCGGTCGAGCCGCCGAACAATTCGACGTGGCGCAGCTCCGTGCCGGCGGGGACGACCAAGCACATGATGTCGGCGGCGGTCGCGCGACGAGCGAGAGCCGCAGGGGCCCTCTGAGAGCCAGGCGCCGAAAAGCAGCGTGAGCGGCGGCCGCGATCAGCCACCTGTGGGCGGCCACCGGGGTGACGGTCAAGCGCTGCCAGGGTTGGATCCGGTGCGTCTCGTATCACTGGTGGGCTGGGCGTGCAGCAGCCGCGCTCAAAAAGAGGGGAAAAAAGCGACAACTGTTCTGACTGTCAGCTTTCTCGACGCACCGTGCTCGGCCTCGCTGAAAAGCTGGCTGGTGGTCGCGCGCAGCGCGTCGGCGCGGCTCCGACTGGTTGGGCACCTCGGCTGGGTCCATCGGCAAGAGGCCCGCGCCGTCGGCCAGCCCCGCGAGCGCATGGGCGGCCGGCGCTGAGCGGAGGACGGCGGCGAGATCTCGAAATCTTCGCACGAAAATCACAAGGCGCCAAGGGGGGGTCCGAATAAGATACATCACATGCCTGCTGAGGATCTCTCTCTCTGATAGCGTGATAGGGTCCCCTCACTCTCTCGCTGGCTCCTACCTTGATCGCGTCCAGTGCTTCTTGATCGCGTCGGCGAGACACACGTCGGTCATTGCCACCGCCGCGCGGAGTGGCTATAGAGTGTGAGGACCTCCCCTCCTCCCCGCGCACTCCGTGTGAGGACCTCTCCTCTTAGTGTGAGGACCTCTGGGATCCCTCACTCACCTCTCGCTGGCGCACTGTCTCCTTTGGTCGCGCCCCGAGCGTGCCACCGCGGCCGCCATCCTCTTCCTGTGCGGCTTCGGCTTACCGGCATCTATCTCCCTGCAACACCTCGCTCTCGCGTGACCCATGTGACCTTCTGGGAAGTGAACTCATCTCGAAGAGTACTCGAGAAAAAGCAATGAGAGGATGTTTTTGTGTGCGCGGCGGTCGTGTGTACGTACTTTTGATGTGCACTACCACAGCGTACGTACGTAAGCACCATCGCCACTTGCATATGACAACGGCTCGGGCAGAGAGAGAGAGAGAAGTTTTGTTCTCGGGCTCCGGAGCAGGCGCACATCGCTTCCAGGGAGGCAGGGGGGCGCCCTTCTCTCCACACCACATGCTAGGGGGGGGGGGGGGGGTCCGATCCCCAGCACCTTCACCACATGCTACGGGGGTTCCTTTCCCCCCCCCCCCCTTAGCATGAGAGAGGTGCGTCGCCAGACTCGGGGAGGCACGTAGTGACGCAAGGGAGCTGCCTTGATGTCGGCAGGGTTCTTTTCTCGGCATCACCTCGGTGTATCTCGGCTGGATCTCGGCGGGGATCTCGTCGGGATCTCGTCGCCTTCGCTATCGATCGCCGGACCTTCGAATTGTGGAATGTTGGCACAGCTCCCAGGCATCGTGCTTCGTTCTCGCCTCCGTGTGACTACAATCTAGCGCTTGACTTCTGCCAGCGATTGCAATATCCTCTCGTACTTGCTACTTGTGTGGCAATCAAGCGCGGCTCGAGCCCTCGTTGTGCCTACACCACATGAGCAGCGAGCGCCGAGACGACGAGCGGCCTGTGCTACACACTTCGGCCGCGATGCTGACGAATGCTCAGGATGCGTGGGCTAGGTTGTACCCAGGTCAGGCTATCGTCCAGTTTGACTCGGAGGAGAGCTTCATGAGCTGGGCCAACACCGAGCCCGAGCTGATGGGAGTCCTCTCCGACTCAACGGGCGCAGACGGGGCGCAGCCGCTCCACTGGTACGAGAGGCGTGAGCCCACCGACACGGGCCAGCGCAACCCCGCCTGTACTCTCGCCGTCGCCCACACCTTCGGAAATCCCGCCGCCACCACCGCCACCGCCACCGGCGGCTCCGCCACCCACGCCGACGCCAGCAGCTCCGCCGCCGCCGCCACCCGGCCTGCCGCCACGGTAGCCGCGGTGGGAAGCGGTGCGCCGGTGCGGAGGCGAATTTCTGGGCAGCTGCCAGTCTCGCGTGCGTCCCACGACTCCGAGGACAAGCGCGAGTTCGAGTCCCCCTCCTTCGGCGACCGCGCGCGCGCGCACGCTGCCAGCGCAACCACCGTCACCGATGCAGGCATCCCCGTCGCACTCCAGCCTACCTCCCTCCCCACCGCCGCCCTGCGCCCCAACACCCGCCCGCTCCATCCTTCCCGCCGCCACCCTACCCGCCGCCACTTGCCTCGCCACCGCACTCGCCGCCGACCTCGCCGCTCAGCCCCCCCAGCCCTCTGACTCCATGTGACTCCATGTGACCCTTCCCGGACACCAGGCAGCTGCATCGACTGGGCGACGAGGCTGCAGGTCTCGGACAAGGAGGAGTCGGAGTCCGAGTCCGAGTCGGAGACGCGGCGCGGCGCGGGTGCGCTCGCTCCCTCACTCTGCCTCTCGCGGACTGTCTCGCCAGGGCTCTATCTCTCTATATCTCTTTCTCTCTATGTATCTCCCCCTCTCAATATCTGTTTTTCCCTACCCTTCCCCCCCCCCCCGCCACACACCATCCCTCTCCATCCCTCTCCCTACCTCCCTCTCCCTTTGGGTCACACACCACCCTCCCTCCCCTCCCGCTCCGCTCACTCCCCCTCCCTCCCTCTCCCTCCCTCTCCCTCCCTCTACCCCCCCCATCCCCTCCTCTCCCCTCCCTCGCCGCCTTTCTCACACGCCCAACCAGCTCTTGCACCCCTCTCTCACTCTCTCACAGGCGCAGAGAGGGGGGGGGGGCGCGGAGCAACACACGTCCAGCAGCCCCTCCTCATTGTGAGCTCGCGTCGGGTAGGCGTCGGGCGGAGCAACACCTCCAGCTCCTCCTCCTCCAGCAGTGGGAAGCCGCCTCCCTCGCCCAGCAGCGGCGCCCGCTTCAGCCGCAGCCTCGCGCGCGAAAACATGAGGTGCGCCGCGAGTGGTCCTTGAGCGCTCTCGCCTCTCCTTCTCCTGATGGGGCGTGTCTCTCTGGATCCTGCTATCTTGCTCTCGATGAATGTCTATTAGGTACCTCGCCGAGGGCTCTGCAGCGCACCCTCCTCCGCCGCTGCCGGCGAGGGCCGCGCAAAAGGCCCCGCAGAGCCAGGGGCATACCGGAGGTAAGTAGGCCTAGCATCTAGCTTCATCGTTCATGTCAACGAACACACATGCAGTCACGAGTCAGGGGCCGCCAATCGAAACAATATACTGGCCCCCAGGCGTTTCATGCCTCGCTTCCCAAAGTGCAAAGATAGCATTCGTCGTGAAAGTTGGGAGTGATTGGGAGAGAGCCCTCAACAGCGAGTACCCGAGTCTCTAGATGTACGTTTTATTTGTGACTTTTTTCGTCCAAACATAATCATAACAACATAAAGTGAACGACGCGACCGTCCACCGGACGGCGACGCCGCATCTTCGATGGTGCAACACGCATGCGACTGGCAGAGAACGCCGATAGAAATGGATTGAGAAGAGCACTCAGGGACAGAGTCAGTCAGAGTCACAGCAGCCAAGTGCGGTCAGGCTCCCTCCCTCCGTGGCATAGGGACCGGCGAGAAGCATGGGCGGCGGTGCCGGACGCCCGACAGAGGCCGGTGGGGCGGTGGGGCGGCGCGGCGAGCGCCCGTCTCGACGCCCGTCCGGCGTGTCGAGGAGACCCACGCCGAAAGGGAGTGTGCGTCGCGGGCCGTTGGACAGAGAGCGTCGAGCCTCTGCCTCATCTCCGCCGCTCCTCGTCGGACCGCGCCTCCGCCCCCCCGCCGTCGGCCGCCTCGTCTGCAGCCCCTCCCCCCGGGCCCGGCCGCCGCAGAGCCACCTTGGCGTCCGACGCGGACAGGTCCGCTGAATGAACTAAGATTGCTATTAATCAATCATAATAATTAAGCCACCTTGGCGTCCGACGCGGACAGGTCCGCTGAATGAACTAAGATTGCTATTAATTAATCATAATAATTAAGCCACCTTGGCGTCCGACGCGGACAGGTCCGCTGAATGAACTAAGATTGCTATTAATTAATCATAATAATTAAGCCACCTTGGCGTCCGACGCGGACAGGTCCGCTGAATGAACTAAGATTGCTATTAATTAATCATAATAATTAAGCCACCTTGGCGTCCGACGCGGACAGGTCCGCTGAATGAACTAAGATTGCTATTAATTAATCATGAATAATTAAGCCACCTTAGCGTCCGACGCGGACAGGTCCGCTGAATGAACTAAGATTGCTATTAATTAATCATAATAATTAAGCCACCTTGGCGTCCGACGCGGACAAGTCCGCCGCCGGGATGAGCTCCCCCGACGCAGGCAGCGGCTCGTACCTGATTCGCGGGGGGAGGTGTGGACGGGGTGGTGCAGCCGCTGCTGTACGTACCTCGGCTGTATGCGAGCTGGGCCTCGGCAGGAGCTCGGCAGGATCTCGTCCGGATCTCGGCTAGATCGGCTGCATCTCGGCTGCATCCCCGCTGTGTCTCGGCTGTATCTCGGGCTGTATCTCGGCTGTATCTCGGGCTGTATCTCGGGCTGCATCTCGGCTGTATCTCCAGCTGCATCTCGGCTGTATCTCGGGTTGTATCTCGAACCTCGGCGGGGGGTCTGTCGCGACCCACAGCAGCGGCGCGGGGCAGAGGCGGTCGCACAAGTCTCTCCGGCCGGTAGCCTCGCTCAGCTTGAGATGGCCGTAGAGCACGCAGCCGAGGACGGCGACGGAGACGCCTAAAAAAGAAACACAGGTTAAAAAAGAAATAGAGCACGCAGCCGAGGACGGCGACGGAGACGCCGACGAGCTGCGTGGGCAAGTGCGACGTGTCCGCGGGAGGCCAGAGCAAAAACCCGCCCGCGAGGACGAGGCAGGTCTTGGCATGCCCGACCACCTAAAGTACCGAATCCAGATCCCCCGCCGCCTAAGTACCGACTCCTTGGGGGTGGAGAATTCCGGAGAGATGCGAGGGAGACGTGCGGAGATACGAGGCAGGTCGCCCGACCACCTGGAAGGTGATTGCCGACGTGCGGCCGATGAGGCAGAACGAGGAGACGTTCGTCCCAAGGGCGACGAAGCAGGTCAGCACCACCAGCGCCAGTGTGCGCGCGCCGCCGCCCCCGTCGCCGCCGCCGCCGTTCGCGGCTTGCTGGGCGAACCCGACCGCCGTCCGGCACTCTCCTGGCTCCTCCGAGCGGAGTGCGGGAGGCAAACCTGCGCAGAGGTGTGGGCGGGGTCACGTGCGTCCGTACTAGGGAGCCAGGCCGTACGCCCCTTCAAGACGCGAGCCACTCATCACACACTCGTCCAGGGGGGAGCCCTTGAGCACGGCCTCCTCTCAGTCCGCCAGTCCATCATCAGCGTGTGTGTGTGTGACACGTCCCTCGCACCGGACGACGGGGCACACGCACTCGCGGGATACACGGGGCGTGACCACACGAGGCGGTGTGTGCGTTCTCAGGGAAAGGCGTCGCCACAGACAGCAGTTCGTATGGCCGGGCCTCTGAAGCGGCTGCACACATCGCTGCTCAACCTCGTGCAACCTCGTGCAATCTCGTGCAATCTCGTGCAATCTCGTGCAATCTCGTGCAATCTCTCAAGGCGAGGCGGGCCTGCGCAGAGGTTCTCCAGCGCAATCGCCGCCGCGAGCGCCTGCGGCACCTGTGAACAGCGTCTCTTCACACCTCGAGCTGTGAACAAGCGGGCGAGCGACCGCCTGCGGCACCTGCCAAATCGCCACGGCCGCCTGTGAAAGAAAAGGCTGTGAGGCGATGCAAAGCGGTGGAGAGGTGACGCCGCCACTGCTGGCGACGGCCGCCTGCAGCTGCGTCGCGGACAGCTCGAGCTCCTACGACTGACGACGGATGGATGAAAAGAAAGAATCAGCCGGCCGACACGGCGGCGTGGCGAGGCAGCTCGAGCACCGTTTGCTTGGAGCCTTGCCAGATCTGGAAGACGGTGGTGTCTAGGAAGTGTCTAGGGAGTGTCTAGGAAGTGTCGCCTTTTGCTTGGAGCCTTGCCAGATCTGGAAGATTGTGGTGGTGGCGACGGCGAGCAAGCCGAGGACGAGGCCGGGCGCATTGAGCTGGACCTGCGTGCTGAGTACACCCGACGTCAGCGGGCGGAAGACGAGATTGCGCCGAGGACGCAAGGCACAGTGTGTGAGTTTGAGCGGCTGTGAAAACGGTGACAACAGCCGCGCACGGTCGGATGGAGCAGAGGGGGTGTCCTCTGGAGCGAGGGTTGGGATGCAAGAATGCACACTCGCTTCTAGGGGGAGCTGCACACGTCCGAGACGGTGTCTAGGACGCGTCTAGGAAGTGTCTAGGAAGTGTCTCACGTCCGAGACGGTGTCTAGGACGCGTCTAGGAAGTGTCTAGGAAGTGTCTCACGTCCGAGACGGTGTCTAGGACGCGTCTAGGAAGTGTCTAGGAAGTGTCTCACGTCCGAGACGGTGTCTAGGACGCGTCTAGGAAGTGTCTAGGAAGTGTCTCACGTCCGAGACGGTGGCGACGGCGAGGCCGAGGAGGAGGAGGAGGAGCGAGAGCTTCACACGGCGCGAGGCGTGCACGTCGTGCAGGAGCGCCTGCGCGAGGTGGAGCCGAGAGGCCGTCGAGGTGGGCGGCCGAGGTGCGGCCGAGGTGCGGCCGAGAGGCGGCTGGCGAGGGCTTAAAAAGGTGCCTGTGCGAGCAGCGTGCACGGCACTATGGCGAGCTTCGTGATCTGGTAGAAGCCGACCGAGTTGAGGTGGAGCGAGATGTTCATGAAGCCGATGCTTCCGACGCCAAACCCGGCAACCTTGAACGCCTCTGCGTGCGGCAGCGACCGAGGCTCAAAGGCGCCGCACGCTGCGAGCAGGCGGTAGAACGCGACGGTAAAGGCAAAGTGGAGGAAGGTGAGCGACATGGGGAAGTTGAAGCCAGCCGAGAAGACCGCCTGCGGGGTCGGAGGTGTGCCACGGCTTCGCGGCTGGCGGCGGAGGACGGCGGATGGCGGCGGAGGTGGAGCGGGAAGGGTCAGGCCGGGGCTGTATCTTCCGGAGCCTTGTTGACGAGCACTAGCGAGACGGAGCAGCCGACGTTGGCGAGCGCCGCACCGAGCGTGAGCGACCACATCGCGGGCTGCCAACGCCGGTGGCAGCGTCACGCCAATAAAATGCCGAAAGAATTTTACAACAAAGAATTCTTATGACAAAGAATTCTTGAGAATTCTTAAGATACAACAAAAGAAAAACGAGACATGACCGAGCGCGTTGGAATCCTTCATCGCCGCGGGGGGCGACCATGGTGACGCAAACAGCCGCAAGCTGTCTGCACGCGGGCCGCCCGCCGCGGCGAGGGCCCTTGTGATTGCGGGTAGCACATACTTCTCATCCCTCTCCACCGAGAAGTGGGTGAGATTATTATCGGTCGCATTCGGGTCGGCCAGGTCATCGTACGAGTAGAAAGGGAGTGGCGTGAAGTCGGAGGTCGCAATGGTGACACGTCCTAGGGTCATGCCGATCCCCACGTCAGGGTCGAACAGGTCGCTCAGCAGGGAGGCTCGAGCCTCAACCCCAACAGGTGCAGAGCTCCTCGAAGAGGGCCACCACGTGCCGCAACGCGCCGCGCGCCGCGTCGAGGTGCGCCACGCCGCTGGCGGCGGGCGCAAACAGCGGCGAGGGCGTGTCGGCGAAGAAGTCGGAGAAGGGGAAGTGGCGCTCGACGGCCCCCTCCTCGTCGCCCGCGCGCCGCGCCTCCGCCTCGAACGCCTCCCATCGCGGCGCGACCGTCGCCTTGCATTCAAACTCAAGACTGTTAGAACAAAATGCCTAAACCTTTCAATATTTTGCTTTTAGTTATTATGCCAGACGTTGAAATTATGGCGAGCTGCCCCAATCGTGCGCTGTCTCTTTGTTGACGCTCATATCGCGGAGCTCTTTCAGCGCCTGGTACTCGAAGTCGAGGAATGCCCGCAGGATGCTTTCACCCTGAGGGGTGACTGTCTCACCGTGGTGTTTCAAGTCGAGTTTTGCGCCAAACACATGCGGCATGGCTGAGGTAGCGGCTTTGGCGGTGGCTGCGGGGGCGCCGAGCCAAACCAGGCCCTCGGCAGTGTCTTCGGCACAAGACTCGGTGTCAATGAGAAAGACGCCGCCGCGGCCACCAGAACGACGGCCAATGGCGCGTAGGGCGCCGAGCACGCCACCAACATAAAAGCAGAAGCCCATCATGAGGTGGCCATGGCCGTAGTAGGGAGCGTCATGGTCCGCGGGGAGGCTCGTCAGGGCGCGGCGTGCAATGTCGCCGCAGCTGTCATTGCGGCTGAGGCCGAGGGCGAGGGCTGCCACTGTCGGGTAGCAGCGGTACAGGGGCAAGAGGCGCGAATAAAAGTTGTTGCTGTTGATGGGCCGCTCTCCACCATCGGGATGATTATGATTGAAGGCCGAGATGACCCGTTTCACTGGATCGCGCGTTGCGACGATCACGTGGGTGCGATTCGCAAGTACCCGTGGGGTCACCGGGTGAACGTGCACCTGCGGCAACATGACGCCAGATCCCTTGACCACACGGTTGACACTCGACCCGCAAGTCTTTCCAACATGCACCAGCAATGCCTGGCCTGGCGCAACCGCGTGCTCGCCAGACAGATAGAGCCAACCCTCGGGGACCCGTGTTTACTTTAAGGCCCTTTCCCTGCGAACGCGCACCCCCAGGGCTAGGGCTTTCTTGCCCGCAACCCGATGCCAATCATCCGGCCCGCTGGGTGCGCTTCTTAGCTCCCCGGCCCTGGATGTGCGGTTACTGACTGCACTCCAAGTGCTCCAAGTTTTGCCAAAGAACGGCGACGCCACGCATGCAGGGTTTGTTAATTCTTTTATATTCACACGGCAATCGCAGAGCAGATTCTGAATGAGCTTGCCTGCGGCGAGGGCGGTCGAGTGCACGGAGCTAAGTGCCTCGCCGTCCTCGCAAGAGTTGCTTAGTTAGGCGGCTCCCGTGGTGTACCTGTGTTAGTGCCAGTGCGCGCCAGTCCCGTGCCCAGTAAAGAAAGAATTTAAGAAAACGGACAACCCAAGGGAGGGATGGGAGGACGGCACGCCGCCACCACACAGGGATTTTAAGGAGAGGGGTGTGATGCGTGTGTCTCGCGCCTTGCGGGGGGGGAGCGGAAAGGAGGGTCGGGAGGCTCCGGCTCAGGTCGTGGGGCATAGCTCGGGTGTAAACGGGGTCTGGGGAGGAAGCCCCAGCGGCCCGCCGCAGGCGCCGCCGGAGGCTGGCCCGCCGCAGGCGCCGATTTTTTGGCGTTTTTTCTCAAAATTGAGGGATTTCTCATCTAAATTCTCATCCAAAATCGAGCTCGCTACGAGCTCTCTAACTGCACAGCATCTCCTCGTTGAGCCTAGCGGCGCCCGTATCGCCCACGCCCACATTCCTTTTTCTTGCCCTTGGCCCTTGCTGCACTCAGCCGCTCAACCTCCGCCAGTCTCTCCTTGCTCGTTGCTGGCGCTGCCGCCCCCAGTACTGCGATTGCAGCTCCTTGGCATGCCGCGCCGCCTCCATCTGCTGTGCTTCCCACGCTGCCGCTTCCTCTAAAGCAGCGCCGCCACTAAGCGGCGCAACCAAGTTCTCGCACTGTTTGCATGAGCATGTGTCCTGCTGGTGCGGCGCACAATCCGCGCGCGGCGAGTGAGAGTAGAAGACTGACAGCAGGAGCTGCAGGAGCTGCAGGAGCTGCGCAGATCGGATGGGTGGTGACGCCGTCGAGCGACGGCGCAAAGACCAATCACCACCGCTGAGAGCCGCGACACGAGGCTGCTGGCAGCTGCACCTGTGAGAGCCGCGACACGAGGCTGCTGGCAGCTGGCAGAGCGAATCGCGATTCCGGCGGCCGCCGTCAGCCCGCCGACACCGACGGCCTGTCTGAGGTCAAACTCCCACCGCACGTCGGACCAGTCGTGCGTCAGCCATGGCGACGAGACGTCTGTATGCAGACAGCCCGCCACCCGGGCGATAGAACATGCCAGCTGGGCTCTTCCAGGGCTCTCGTGGCCCGTGGCGCGTGCCCAGTGGGCGGGCTGCGGCGGGCGCAATAACTATTCACAGCTAATGAAAACTATAAAAACTCGCGGCTTCATCAAAGTTTGAGGTGGCTTCGTCCTCAGCACCATCAAGACAGCTCTATTCACACCCTGTTTGGTTTGAAGCCACTCGGGGATGCCCGTTTACACCCAACCGACGAGTCGCTGGGCCCTCTGACCTGAGCCGGAGCCGGAAGGCGAAAACGGTAAACGCTCTGGGGCGCAGATCGCACCGTGGGGGGTACTCCGACGCCTCTACGCTCCCTATAGTGCTGGCGGCCTGGCGTGCTGTGAACAAACCCACAGCGAAGGGAAGTAGACGCGCCTGGGCCCTGGGCGGCTGGGCTCACTGCTCACTCAGCTCTCACGGTGAGACTCTCAGGCCTCAGCTCTCTCACCAGGGCAGATTTCGGTTTTCGCCCTCCGCGGCAGACCGCACTTTTGTCGGTGTTTGTGTTCGAAACAGCACAACTGACCGGCCGACGCGAAACACACGACGAGGACACGACAGCCCTGAAGGTGTTGGGCGCGCAGACCGGCACAGGTGAACTGTGGCAGTAGCCTGTACCTCCCCCCTGCCCGCGCCCCCCCCCCCCCCCCGGCTCACCCACGCAAGAGACCACCCACTCTCCGCCTCTACCAGTAGTACCTGCCGCCTACCCGACTCTCCGACCGGCCGGCGGCGGCGCCCAGCGGCGGCACAACGCGCACACGCCGCAGGAGGAGTACAAAACAAAACCGGAGACGGCGGAGGGAGTCGATCGACCAGACGGCCCTTGCCGACGGCCAAAACCGATCCCCGCCTCTGCCCGCCCGCCCGCGCTGCTCTACGCGTCCTTCTACGCTTCCTTCTCGCGGCCGCTGCTGTCGCCTGCGAGCATCTTCAGCAGAGCGCGCACGATCTTGCCGCCCCAGTACAGCTGCAGGAAGGTTAGCACCTAAGGGCGCGCCGTGGTTGGCCGACGATCGGCCAATGCTCTCTCGCCCCCAGTAGAGCTGGCAGCGGCGAGGGGCGGCGGCGAGGGGCGGCGGCGAGGGCGGCGGCGAGGAAAGGCCGGCGGCGTGTAGGGCGAGGCGGACACGGCGGCGGCAATGCGGCAGTGGGGCGGCGGTGGGGGCGGCGGTGGAGGCGGCGGTGGGGGCGGTGGCGGGGTGGCGGGGAGCGCGGTGTGGGCGGGGAGCGCCGAGCAGGTGACGCAGAAGGTAGCCATCTGCAGCTGCCCCTCCAGTTCGCCCGCCGCCCACACCGCGTACAGGTCACGCAGCAGCTGCAGCACCGCCAGCGGCCAGAGGACGCACCTAGCAGAGATTGCACGAGATTGCACGAGGTTGCACGAGGTTGCACCTAGCACGAGGCGTGCCACGCCACGCACGCACGCTCTCGGCTTGCTGCAGCAACCGCCGGTGCTTCTCGGCCAGCGGCGACCTCCCTGCTACCTCCCGGCTACCTCCCGGCTACCTCCCGGCTACCTCCCTGCTACCTCCCGGCTACCTCCCGGCTACCTCCCGGCTACCTCCCGGCTACCTCCCGGCTACCTCCCTGCTGCCTCTCTGCTGCCTCTCTGCTGCCTCTCTGCTGCCTCTCTGCTGCCTCTCTGCTGCCTCTCTGCTGCCTCTCTGCTGCCTCTCTGCTGCCTCTCTGCTGCCTCTCTGCTGCCTCTCTGCTGCCTCTCTGCTACCTCTCTGCTGCCTCTCTGCTGCCTCTCTGCTGCCTCTCTGCTGCCTCTCTGCTGCCTCTCTGCTGCCTCTCTGCTGCCTCTCTGCTGCCTCTCTGCTGCCTCTCTGCTGCCTCTCTGCTGCCTCTCTGCTGCCTCTCTGCTGCCTCTCTGCTGCCTCTCGGCTGCCTCTCTGCTGCCTCTCTGCTGCCTCTCGGCCGGAGGACGCACCGAATCAGGAGGAACGAGAGGGCGAAGGCGACCCGCACCATCTCGTTGACCGAATGGCCTGCGGGCGAGGGTCAGGGCTGGGGTCAGGGTTGCGGTCAGGGTTAGGGTTGGGGTTGGGGTCAGGGTTAGGTTTGGGGTTAGGGCTAGGGTCAGAGCTAGGGTTAGGGCTAGGGTTGGGGTCAGGGTTGCGGTTAGGGTTAGGGGCGGTCAGGTAAACTTCTCCACACACACACACACACACGAGGTGGTGGGGCAAGGGCCGGGCTGGTCCCTCGCGACTCCACGTCTACGCGACAGGAGCTGGCACGGCATTCCAAGTGCGAGGCCCGGTGCGAGTGGGTGAGCGAGTGTGCCTGCGGGCCACCCCTCGTGCAATCTCGTGTGCCTGCGGGCGACCCCTCGTGCAATCTCGTGCAATCTCGCGCAATCTCGTGTGCCTGCGGGCGACCCCTCGTGCAGCCGCGGGAACTGGCGGAAGAGGTCAACAAACACGAGCGGCAGCGACGAGACCTCGACGAAGCCGAAGAAGAATGCGGCCTGGCGCAGGAGGGGCAGGACGTGTGTGGCCGGCCTTTGGCGCTGTCTCCATCGCTCTTTGAGTCCGCACTGAGTCCGAACTACTCATGAGGCGCCTGGTACATGAGAAACGGGCCTGTTCACAGCTGGAGGTGTGAAGAGACGCCGTTCACAGCGAAACGCCCTCCTCCTCCTGGAGGGTGCCTGTTCACAGCTGCAGGTGTGAGGAGACGCCGTTCACAGCGAGACGCCCTCCTCCTCCTGGAGGGTGCCTGTTCACAGCCGGAGGTGTGAAGAGACGCCGTTCACAGCAGCCGCGGGGAGAGGAGGAGCGGGCCCGAGAGGCCACACAGCGCGGTGAGGAGGGTCATCCCGTGGTGAACCAAGTGCTCCGCCTGTGGGTTCGGTACCGTGGGGGTAGGGGATGGGTTCGGGTACTATGAGGTGGAGGGTCATCCCGTGGTGGACCAAGTGCTCCGCCTGCTGGAAACACACGCACTCAGAGCCAGCCGAGGCACTCATAGCTTCACACCGCCACAGCTTCACACTGGCCACAGGAATCCGGTGTTGGGCGCGGAGCGGGCGGGAGGCGACCGCTCTGCGATCGCTCCGGGGCGAGTCCCCGGGGAGGGAGGGTCCGTGTCTGGAAGGGGGGTCCTCCTCGGTGCGCGCCTTGCGCAGCGACGGTACGATCAGGGTGACCAACAGGTCGAAGACCTACCGGAGCGAGGCACCGCGCCGGGAGCCGTCTCGGGAAGGGGAGCTGGAGGCGTCTCGGGGGCGTCTCGGCGGGCTCCGGGAAGGTTCCGGGAAGGCCCGGGAGTGCTACAGCGGGCCGGCGGACCTGAATCCCAAACATGAAGGCTCAGGGAAGGTTCCGGGAAGGTTCCGCGGGAAGGGGCTCGAGCAGACCTGCATCCCAAACATGAAGCGAGCGAGGGAGAAGGCGTCCTCGGAGGCGGCGTAGAGGCGGCCGCGCGCGTCGGCGCCCAGCGCCGCGTGCTGCTCGTCAAAGTACCACAGCCGCGTGCCGTGGTAGGCGGCGTACGCAAACGGCACCGCCGCCGTCAGCTGGTGAGCCGCCATGCCGACATCGGACGACATGGGCGACGGGACGACGTAGAGGAGGGCCATCCAGCCAAACTGCAGCACGAACAGCCCGCCCACCCACTGAAGCACCCACTCGTCCGACAGCAGCTGCAGGCACATGCGGGAGCGGCGTGAGCGGAGCGGCGGTCGTGCGGGCGCGCGCGGCCGCGGCGGCGTGTGGAGTGCGCGGGCAGCGGCGCGCGGCGCGAAGCGGGATGCGCACGTCGGATAAGCTCATGCTCGGCACGACGGCGGCCGCCGGCTGCGGAGGCGGTTTGCCCCAGGCCATTTTGTAATGGCCCAAACTCAGATTTGTCCGGGTGAATTCTTTTTTTTCATAGTGAGAAAGAATTTGCGGAAGCGTGGAGGTAACCGCGCTCCTCGAACCTCGAAAGCGGCGCCGGCTGAGCCGCGCGCGCCGAGGCGCGCGCAAAGACTCGTTGTTCGAGGTCCGAAAACTCCTGCAGCGTCATCGTCGGTGCCTCTCCTACCTTAGGATGCGCGTGTCCGCTCCTCCCTAAGCGCCCTCTCGTCCTCCTCCTCCTCCTCTCTGTGTCCTCCTCCTCCTCCTGTGCCGCCACGTGCATCTCGTCCTGGAGCTTATAGAGCCGCGCGTATTCAGTGAGCTCAAATGGCAGCAGCTCCGAGTCGGGGCCGCACGGCCAAGAGGAAGAAGGAGAGGAGACCTGTGGCCGTTGTAGCCGAGGTGATGGTTACGCCGCAAGGATACGTGGGACGAGCGAGGCCCCCTAGGGGGCTCCGCCTTTGCGGAGCCAGAGCCACCAGAGATGGCAGGGGGGGGCGTCGTTCCGTGGTTCGCCGCCTCGGTGTCGGGCACATTCTCAAGAAAAAAGAATTGCGGTAAAAGAATCATACAAAAAGAAATGTAAGTATTGTGAAAGGCATGGCAGCTGTGCACCTTAGCACAGCGAGCTTGCTATCAAAATCTACAACTCAACCTTCCTTCCCTGTTCCCATCTGTTCTGCCCCAGGATCTTGCCTTCTCAATCTGAATCAGAGATCGCGCACGACCACGAGACGCGGCCTTCAGTCCTCCGAAGCGCGCGTGGCCCTGCCAGAGCCATCCACATTTAAACGAAAGAGACGTCAGCTCCGCTTGTGTCTGGCACAGCCACTGGAGGTCCTCACAATAAAACCAGTAAGAGCTAAGAGGTCCTCAATGCACAGTGCCTCGTTGTCTTCGAGCGAAGATTAAACATTTAATACCCCAAGCGCTGGGGAGTGAGCTCTCTGACTGTCTCCCATCGGCCGCAGCGCAGATTCTGTTCTGCGCACCACGGCAATGCGTATCAAACACACACGATCTGCGTTGAAGAGGTCCTCACAGAGAGGTCCTCTGGCTAAGAGGTCCTCAAGTAGTCGAGATAGTCCTCGCCCGAGCAAGAGCCTGTGCCTGTGCGCAGACTTACACCCATCTCGCGACCAGTCGGCAAAACGAGGCTTCCTGCAACAATGGCAAGCTGTTCAAATCGTAGGTAGGGTAGTACAAGAGTACAGAGCAGATGACTGATGAGATTGAGCTCACTACGCCACTGATGTTGATGTGTGTACAGTCAAGGCAACAAATGGTGGGTTGTGAAGTTACAGCCGTGTGATCCGCGTCGTTGCAGTTGCTCTGCCGTTTCCCCTTCCAATGCGGCTCAGCCGTTTTTTTGTTTACCAGGCTGGCTGTACAGCAAAATTTTGGTCATGTAGTGCCCGTGGTTAGCGCCCGCCTCCGCCGCCCGCTCCTACGCGAACGGCACTGGCACTGGTGGCGCCCGCGGCCCCGTCTCGCCCCAGTCTGCGCGTTGCCGAGGTGCCAGAACACTGAGTTCGAGCTCATTCGCTTGCTGCACTGCACTGACCTTACACCTGCAAATCTAGATTGACCACAATGTTACATTCACTGAACACATCTTCTCAGTCTGATACTTAGTTACTCACTCAAGGAATCTTGCCTTCTCACTCAATCTACCGTCAATTCGCCACCACTGAGACGGTGCGGCCTTTTCAATGCGCGCGTGGCACTGCCAGAGCCATCCACAAGTAGAGAAGGCAGCTCCGCTTGTGTCTGGCACAGGAGGTCCTCACAATAAAACGAGTAAGAGGTCCTCACAGTTCCTGTGTTCTTCGTACTTCGAGGCAGCGAAGCAGCGAAGATTACATGTTCTTGTGTAAGCGCTGGGGAGTGAGCTTTCTGACTGTCTGTGAGACCATTCAGCCGCAGCGCAGATTCTGTTCTGCGAGACCACGGCTTAATGCGCATCAAACACACACGAAGTAGAGGTCCTCAGTGAGGACCTCAGGCTAAGAGGTCCTCTCAAGTAAGTCGAGAACGAGATCGTCCTCGCCGAAGCAAGAGCCTGTCCTGTGCGCAGACTTATACCCATCTCGCGACCAGTCAGCAAAACGAGGCTACCAGCTGCACAATGGCAAGCTGTTCAAATAGGTTAGTTACAAGAGAGAGTACACAAGATGAGATTAAGCTCACTGGGCAACAGGCAGGTATGGATGAAACAGTCAGGTGGCTTGTGAAGTTGCTCACTTCTGCCGCGTGAGATTGCGGATTCATCCTTCTTGCTTTTCGGTTTTGCAGAATCTCGCCCGCCTACTGCCCCTGAGAGTTGGTTATCGAGTGGGCTCAGCTCCCCCCCTTGGGATGAAGCTTCCACGACCTCGCACCCAACATCCCAGGCGGGACACACACACACACTACCCAACGCGGCCAAAGGATTCGAGAGCCTCGAGAACTCGCCGGCGGGGGACTTTCACAACGAACCTGTGAATGCAAAGTCGATCGCCTTCCACATGGGCTGCTTCTCCAGCGCGTCGCCCCGACCGAGGAGCTGCCCGGCCCTCCCGCCGTCGAACTCGACGCCCCGACGCCCGCCGACACCGCCGCGCCGACGCAGCCGGCCGCCGCCCTCCCCTCCGCCACCGATCTCGGAGTGAGCGAGAGGAAGCTGAAGCTGTGGCGCAAGAAGGGCGGCGGCGACCTCGAGCCGGTCCTCGCGAGCGGCGCCGTCGCCCTCCTCGACGCGCAGTGGGTCATCAGCCACGCCGAGGCGGGCGGCGTCCTCACCCACCGTCAGGCGCTGCTCAAAGAGGCCTTCCTCTCTTTCGCCGACCTCGTCGAGGCGACCACCAAGTATGACCGCCTTCCCGTCGCCGCGCTCTCCTACCCGTGGCTGACCAAGGACCACCCCGACCCGCGCGGAGCCAACCTCGCCCGCGTCGCAAGGGCGCTCAAGGCCCTGCTCAGCGATCCCGACTACATCCCGCGGCTCGGCGTCTTTTGGGACTTCGGCTCGCTGCACCAGCACCCCGACCCCGCCAACGGCGTCCTGCGCACCGAGGAGCAGAACGCGCTCTTCAAGCAGGGTTTGGGCTGCCTCGGCACGCTCTACTCTCACCCGAAGACTTGGGTGCTGCGGCTGACCTCCTTCCCGGACGGCCACAAGGCGGAGGATCAGGCCGAGGGCACCAACGTGGCCAAGTACGTTGACCGCGGCTGGTGCGCCACAGAAAGCAGCTGGGCGAGCCTGACTAAGGCCAGCGCCCTCTCGCTCGACCTCGGCAAGATGCGCGACGGCACGGAGTACGACTGGGACAGCCTCATCCTCGACTGCACCCAGGACGGCGGCCGGCGCCCTCCGCTGCTGCCGTCTGCGTTCGCGGCGGAGCTGGAGAAGAAGAGCTTCACCAACGGCAAGGACGACAAGCCGCTGGTGAAGCGGCTGTACGAGGCCGCCTTCAAGGAGCAGTTTGGCAAGGCGGCCCAGCTGGACTACGGTAGCCTCGGCTGGGGCGACGCGGAGGCGGCGCAGCTGGCGGAGGTCCTCGCGAGCGGGGCAGCGCCGCGGCTCAAGGAGCTCTGGCTCAACGGCAACAAGATTGGCGACGAGGGTTGCAAGGCGCTGGCCGCCGCCCTCAAGGAGGGGGCCGCCCCGAGCTTGAAGGCGCGAGACGCCCCCCTCGCCACTCGCCCCTCCCCCGCCCAATGCTCATCGCACCTCCCCTCGCGTGCAGGAGCTCTGGGTGGGCAACAAGGAGCAGCCTGAGCTGGTGGCCGTGTGCAAGGAGCGCGGCATCAGGCGGGTCTGAGCCTCTCCAGCCCCGGCCGGGCGGCGAGGGCGCGGGGCCCGGCGGGACCGCCGCGACCCGGTCCTCGAGGCCTGCGCGCGCCGCTCCGCGTCGCACGGATCTCCGCCGCGTCCGTCTCCTACGTCTCGGATCCGTTTGCTCTCGGGCCGACGCTCGCGCTGACGGCGAGCGGTAGCGGTAGCGGCAGCGGCAGTGGTAGCTGTAGCCGTAGCGCCGCCACCCCACACACAGCAACCGTCATTACAACAACACGAGTTTACAACCAGCGCTTCTCCGCCAGGTCCTCCTCGCCGCACAGCTGCGCGAGCGGCGGCCTCGCGGCTGGCTCGCGCCCGGGCTGCTGGAGGTGCGTCCCAGCCTCGTCGCCGGCGCCGGCCGCGGCTGCTTTGCGGCGACTGCGCTGCCCTCCGGCACGGTTCTGGGAGCGTACCCTGGCCGCTTGCGATCGGCAGCCGAGTACGCAACGAAGCTGCGCGTCGTCGGGCCGCACGTGGCCGAGTATTGCTGGCGGATCGGCGACGTCGCGGCTCTCGACCCGACCGACGGGGAGGGGCGGCTGTACGAGGCGCGTGGCACTCTCACACACCAGGGCTCTCCACTTCTCTCTGCCCCCTCTGCCCAGCACAGCATGGATGCCCTGTCTGTGCGGTGGCAGGCACCCGGAGTGCCTCTGATCGAAGGCATGCCAGAGAGCCTGCGGACCGGCGCGATGGCGAACTGGTGCGAGCTTCGACAACGAGGCGCGGTCGGCGTCGCCGTCACAGGCGTTCATGCTGTGCCCAGGTGCACGCCAACCACGCTCGCCCTCCTCAACGAGCCGGGCCCGGGCGGGGACGTGAACGTCGGCGTCGCAGTCGAGGGGGCGGACGTCGTCTTCTCGGCGGAGAGGGACGTACGCCGCGGCGAGGAGCTGTACCTCGACTACGGGCAGGACTACGACCGCAGCGGCTATGGCGGCGGCGCCTGACTGAGGCGTCAGACACTGCCCCCCAAATGACGACTCGAGAAATGCCGTACGCACTAGTCGGTACCCAAAATCCTTTTTCGTCTAGTTTTCAAATCCAGGCAGCTCGATTTCTTCTTTTGTGGATCGACCGCTTCGCCACGGTACAGCCCGCGTCTCGAACGTGCACCGACGGCGCCGCCCGACGCGCCTGCCCACGGACTGGGCCGTCGACGTCGTACCTCGTACGTCGATCGAGAGCTGCCGCGTGCCGGGCTGCCGCGCAGCCGCAGGCCACCGCGCACCGGTCCGCTCAGCCATTTTAAGATTTCCTCTTAACGCATGTTGCGGCTTATCTCGGCGGATTTCGGCCTATATTCGACTATATCCCCCGAAGATTCTGAGCCTATAATTTGCTCGCTGTTACTGGCCGTTACGATTTTCGGCGAAGCATCGCAACACACACATCTCGTGGCTCGGGCCGAAAGGCCCAATGAGACGAGGGGCGGCGGGCACCGCGTCCGCCGCGCGGCTGCACGAGGGGAAGGCCGCAAAGTCAAAGCCGGCGGCCTCGTCGAAGGAGCTTGGGCCCGCGGCAGAGCAGAGGTCGTCGAGGTAGATCGCCCGCCATGGGAGGAGCCTATGCCTGGCATCCACGATGCGGTGACCGACAAGGGCGTGCTCCCCAGGTGCAAACCTCTGACCATCGTGATGCCTTGTTATATGCCGAATGAGGAAAGCATTCTGATAGATGTGTTGAGGTCCCACAAGCAAGCCGCAACCAATTTTCCAGCGGACCTGCACGTGATAGTGGCTTGGAACTCTCCCCGAGAACATCCAGATGTGGTTGCCGAGATGGCACAACTCGCAGAGACGTGGCCGACCTTCACACACTTCCAGGTTACAGGCTCCACCACGAAGTGCGACAATTGCAACTTCGCGCTGGATCAAATCAGAACGGAGTGGGCTATTTTCCTCGATGCGGATACCTTGTTCTCGACGCAAACGTTGATTTATGCTAGCCACTTATCCTCGTCAACAACTTTCGACTTTTGGCAGGGGCGGATGGTCAACCCCAAGAGCGACGTACAAGGTGTTTTCCCTTTTGGCGCAGTGACCTGCATGTACGACTCGGACTGCATGCCCAACGATGCACCGATATTTTACAAGTCTGGTCACGTGCCATTCTCCGGACGAGGGGGCCTTTGGCGCGTTTCTGTTTTGCGGAAGGTCGGATTTGACCATAGGACCGTGGGCGAAGACTACGATGCCTCGTTCAGGGCGTATTTCCTCTACGGACATAGAGGATCGCTTGCACCGAATATGATTTTCCAAGAACGTTGCCCAGGCAATATGACCGATTTGCTGCGGCAGCGGAAGCGTTGGGTTAATGCCGACTTCGAGCGAATGGTGAGTTCGACTTGGATGGCTCGTTCGTACTACGTTCCTCGGGTGGAGGTCTTCTTCGGCCTTTTACCGATGAACATCAAGATGAAAATGCCCTTCGAAAGCTGGCCCCGCCGGACACTGAAGTTGACGACCTCGCCGATTTTACTTTACTACGGCTTTTGGCTTGGAAGCCCCGAGACTGGGTCACCTCGGTTCGAGAGGTTCCAACGTGCGCCTCTTTTCCCGATCCTCATGATGTTCGCTTCGATCATCTTGCCATACCTAGTGTGGACAATTCGCTATATTGCCGCGACCCAGGTGAGTCTGTACAAGCCCCGGGTGCAGTATTTGCTGCTGAGTCCAATCGCCGCTTTTCTTTTCCGGCAGTTCGAAATATACTGCGCAATCGAAGGGATGCATCGGTGGCTGTGGGGAAAATTCGTGTTCGACTGCACTCCCCGGTCGCCATCGACTCCAGCCCGACAAACGGTGCTCTCGGCATAATCACAGAGTAGAGAGTGTATGTCTGCATCTGCCTACGATTTCTCGCGCGCTGCGGCGCTAGCATTAAGAATGGATCTAACTAAGCGATGGGTCTGGAGGGTAGTCGCTGTCGCGCGGCCGCTTGGCAGCGGCGCCGACGCTGCCGTTGAGTCTGTCCGTGGCCGCCGCGTCACTCGGCACGGAAGCCTCCTTGCCGGTGGACATGCCGGGGGGGCGTGAGGGCCTGGAAAACCGCATGTTCGCCCGTCTGCGGTCTGGGACCACTTCGTACGGCTCCAAAAACAGCTCCTTAACGACAACTACGCGGCCCGGCGGTCGATCTGCGCCTTCTCAGCGGTGGAGGGGATGTGGGCGGTACGTGCGAACCGCGTGGTGCTGCGATGGCTTGACGAGTGCGACTCCCAGCGTCGACTTTTTGACCCCACGGAGCCTCTGCTGCTCCGGGGGGGGGGGGTCTGCAGACCACCCGGCCGAACTTCAGAGTCGCGGTGCTCCTCAAATACCGCTCAAACGCCCACGATGTTGTGGAGGGGACATATGCTGATGATCCCGGCCCGATTGGTTCGCTCAGAAAGCTTCTGGGCGGTCGTTAAGGTTCGCTCCCCGCACAACCGCCCGGAAGTATGGTACCCTAGACTACTTGCCCCTGTCAAACTATTAGCCTAATAACGTACCTAATTATTAGCATGTACCTAATAACGCGAGTAGCTAATAACAAGCTAATTATTAGGTTAATAACAGCGTTATTAGGGGTGTCGGCTCCCCGCAAGAGGTCGTGAGAGGGGGGAGCGTCGTCGCGCTCACCAGGGCGCGAGATACCGCTAGTCTGGTCATGCGGAGCGGCATCTAGGATACGAGGAGCATCTCAGCACACCCGTATCATCTCAGGAAAATTTTGCATCTAAAGATGTCCGCGGCATCTGAGATGTCATGGGCTATCAAAAGACGCGGCCGGGGCACCATCTAAAGATGATTAAATCTTCTTGGAGAACCCAATCATAGTGGAGACACCCGGTGTCCTTAGATGGAAAACGCATCCTAGATGGCGTTTGGCATCTAGGATGCGCACATCATCTGTAGATGGGGGGGGGTCGCCGCCCCTGACGCACCGCTCACCCACGCGCACTGGGCCTTGCACTTTTGAATGCCGTGGGGCTCCTGTGTCGTCAGACGTGGAGACGCGAGGGTTGCCCCCCCTTGCCCCACCACCTCGTGTGTGTGGAGAAGTTTACCTTACCCCTTACCTTACCTTTAAAAAATTACAACAAACGTCACTCGCTCGACAGCCCCTTGAGCACTCTAAAGCCGTACGGCCTCCAACGCCCAAACCTCGAATCTTCTTGGGCAGCAGCTGGCCAGACAAGTCCTCGCCGTGGCCTAGGCAGCAGTATTCGCCCAGCCTTGCCCCAGGTGGCTCCCCTGCCACCCGTCTCACAGCCCCGGCGCCCACGCCTCGATCTTCTTGGGCAGCAGCTGGTCCGACAGGTCCTCTCCGTGGCCTAGGCAGCCGAGTTCGCCCTCGCCCCAGGTAAAGACGGCGCCGTCGGCGATGATGGCGAGGCCGAACCCGGCTCCAGCCGACACAGCGACGACGCGCCGCCCAGCAAAGGCCTCGATCTTCTTTGGCAGCAGCTGGTCCTGCGCGTCGCCGTGGCCCAACCGGCCGTCTCCTCCATAGCCCCAGCTCCAGACATCACCATCGGCGGTGACGGCAAAGCTGTGACGGTGGCCAGCTGACACAGCGACAACTCGCCGCCCTGCGAACGCCACGATCTTCTTGGGCAACAGCTGGGTTTGTGTGTCGCCGTGGCCCAACTGGCAAAATACTCCATAGCCCCAGCTCCAGACGGCTCCGTCGGCAGTGAGGGCAAGGCAGTAGGTGCCTCCAGCCGACACAGCGACGACGCGCTGGCCAGCCAACGCCTCGAACTTCTTTGGCAGCAGCTGGTTCTGCTGGTCGCCGTGGCCTAACTGGCCATCTGCTCCCAAGCCCCAGCTCCACACTGCACCGTCGGCGGTGAGGGCGAGGCTGTGGTGATCTCCAGCCGTCACAGCGACGACGCGCTGCCCCGCCAAGGCCTCGACCTTCTTGGGCAGCAGCTGGTGCTGCTCGTCGCCGTGGCCCAGCCTGCCATAGTAGCCATAGCCCCAGCTCCAGACGGCGCCGTCGGCGGTGAGGACGAAGCAGTGGCTGCTTCCTGCCGACACGGCGACGACGCGCCGACCCGCAAAGGCCTCGACCTTCTTTGGCTGCCGCTGGCTCTGCTGGTCGCCGTGGCCCAGCTTGCCACCATTTCCATGGCCCCAGCTCCAGACGCTGCCATCTGCGGTGAGGGCGAGGCTGTGGCTGCTTCCAACCGACACACTCACGGCGCGCTCGTCGCCCAGCGAGGAGGGGAGGCGGGTCGGCGTGTTGAGCCGCGTCATCCCCTCGCCGTGACCGAGTAGTCCCGGCGTCCAGTTGTTAGCCGTTCCGCACGACCAGAGCCGCCCCTCGCCGTCGATGAAGAGGCTGTGCCGCAAGCCTGCCGCCGCCCTCACCGGCGGGTTGGACTCGCGCAGCAGCGCCGAATAGCACAGCCACCGCACGGCGCAGCTCTCGCCCTCCGGCAGCGCCGGCAGCTCGAAGCCGCGCTCTTGCGCCCACAAGCGGATGCCCTCCACCGCAAGCGAGGCGTGAAAGAGCAGCGAGACGGCCGCGGCGCGAGCGATGTCGGCGGGGTCGCAGCGAGAGACGACGCGCACGAGGAGCTCCGTGGGGAGGTCGAGGAGGCGGGCGGGCGGCGGCGTGTCTGGCGAGGGAGCGGCGGGTGCGAGGCGGCGCGAGCGGCGGCGCCGAGGGGTGGACATCGCGAGAAAAAGAAAAAAAGAATTCTGACTTCCGGCCTCACCCGGGAAAAGAATTCTGACCCCCTCTGGCTGCTTGCGGTCCCGCTAGAGCTCTACGCTGACGCGCAGTTCTGGTACGCTCCTCACGGTTCCGGTACGCTGACCCGCGGATGATCCTCCGCCTGCTCTTCCTCGCCCTCTGTATCGTCGTCGTCTGCCTGCCGTGGCTCGGCGGCGTCAGCACGCCGGCCACACTCATTGCCATCGGGCTGCCTCACGATCCTCCGCTGGACAGCGTCGCGATCCCGCCTCTGGCGCCGCTGCTCGCAGAGTGGCTGCTTGGCCCTTCCGAAGAGGGTCGGGACGCAGCGCCAGCGGCGCACAGCTGCGATGCCGACGACAGCGGCGGTGGCGGTGGCGGCCGCGACGACAAGGCCGCGGGCCTCTCTTCGCTCGATGCGTCCGCTACGCCACACTTGGCCCTCTGCCACGCTCCGGCCTGCGGCGGAGTCGACATGCTCACCGTCACCCTCCTGCGGCGGAGGGTGGCGGCGGCGGCGCGCGCGGAGAAGGGAGGCGGTCGAGGGAGCCTGGGAGCGAGGCGAGGGCGGGCGGAGGCGGCAGAGCCTCTGGTCGGCCGTGTCGAGGTCTGGGCTCGGCTCCTCTCGGCTCCTCTCGGCTCCTCTCGGCTCCTCTCGGCCTCCTCTCGGCTCCTCTCGGCCTCCTCTCGGCTCATCTCGACTCCTCTCGGCTCCTCTCGGCTCCTCTCGGCTCCTCTCGGCTCATCTCGACTCCTCTCGGCTTCCTCTCGGCTCCTCTCTGCCTCCTCTCGGCTCCTCTCTGCCTCATCTCAGCCGGCCCCCAGCCATAACCACTCAACACCCACCCTAACGATCAGCGTTCGCAGGTCTGGGCCCGTCCGGCCTCCTCCTTCGCTCCTCCGCCCTCCAGGCCGCCGCTGCGAGACGCGGTGCTGCGGACGGCGGGCGAGGGCGGCGACGGGGCGCTGTTGAGACTGCTGGCGGGCGAGGCGCGAGCCCTCGCCGTCACTGCGCCCGCCTGCCAGTGTCTGCTGAGCGGTTGTTAGTCGGCTGTCCACATCGTGATCATCAGGCGCGCGCCGCCCTCGCTGCGCCCGCCTGCCGATGGCCAATACTGACGAGATACCGAGGACGGTTGTTTCTCTACGGACTCCATCAACCAACAGGCGCGAGCCGCCCTCGCTGTGCACCCACAATTGTGTGATGAATGGTCATTCCTCTCGGTCACTCACCAATCAACAGGCGCGCGCCGCCCTCGCTGCGCCCTCCGGCTTGCCGTACTTGCGTGGCGGCGGCTGGTCGCTGCTCTGGAGTGACGAGCTGCCCGGGCCAGGAGAGCTGCTCTCCTCCTCCGCCTAATACGTACCTCAACCTTAATGGACTGTATTGTAACACCCGTGTGTGTCTCCTTCCCTCGCAGGAGAGCTGCTCTCCTTCGCCGCCGACGGATCCCTCACCGGCGCCGACCACACTGCAACATATGAATGATATAAGAATGATCTAAGAAGAAGAAGGAGGAGAAGTATTGTGGTGTATGTATCATACTCTTCTCCGGCAGGCGCTGCCTACCGCGTCTCGCGCGGCGAGGCGGAGGATTGGGCTGTCCGCATCTTCACACCGCACGCCTCGCCGTGTGCGGCGGCTGGCGCTGCCTCGGCCGCCACGGCGAGATCTAGCCGAGATCTAGCCGAGATCTGGCCGAGATCTGCCGAGATCTGGCCGAGATCTGCCGAGATCTGGCCGAGATGCTTCCGAGGCCGAGCCAGGCCGAGGGCGCGAGAATGGCCGAGATGAGGCGCCGTGCGCGGGGGGGGGGGGGGGCCCCAAATTTTTTCCCTTGGGGG